CTGCATTTTAATAGTGTTCGGATACTTTGTTATTTTTATCTGCATTTTAATAGTGTTCGGATACTTTGTTATTTTTATCTGCATTTTAATAGTGTTCGGATACTTTGTTATTTTTATCTTCATTTTAATAGTGTTCGTAAACTTTGTTATTTTTATCTGCATTTTAATAGTGTTCGGAGACTTTGTTATGTTTATCTTCATCTTAATTTCTTCTTATTTTCTCTAGAGATGCAATATTTGTGTAGTAGCCAAGATAAAGTGGTTTCGTATCATTGTTGGTTTTTCATTGAACAAGGTGTTTCTTGCTACTTTCTGGACAGGGTTCTACCTTGATATAGGAAACCCATAATACAATATATCACACTTCCCATACACTATCTGAAATAACCAATATAAAGTTGAAATACTTTAGACATTTATACGTTTGTACTCCACAATAAGTTTCAACTAAACTCCAATAGTCTTGAAGATTCTCCACAAACTTCATCTTTCAAGATTTATTCTTTAAAGAAACCATCTAACTTGGTTTTCTGTTAGAGAAAAATTATCCAAGATGTATTGACGCCAAACCAGAATTCCACTTTTCTATTAACCATAAAATCAAAACTAACCATCTTATAGCCCTAAATATTCAAATAATAAGTATATATTATTAAACAGTTAAAGCTGTTAATGACTTTAAGAACACCTTTCTAAATATAGACATATTGTGATTTACAATAGTTTTCATCAATACTCAACTAACAAGTGTAGTGGGAAACAGAAGTGTTTCTATGAACGAGTTTAAATTAATTTAACTTTGTTACCTATCATTACCATAACAGACTTGTTACAGTGTCAGTTTATCCCAAGTAAAATCAACCAGGTGTAGACGTAAGCACGTGCTGTCTACTTTGACCAGAAAGCTAGTCTAATCATATTTTTTTATTAACGATACACTACTACTTCAAAATAACCAACTACGTGATATATTCCAAGCTAAGAAAGTGATATTTGGATTAAGCCAAGCAGTGATGTAACACTGAGTATTCTCTTCGTTATGTGTTAAAATAAATGTTCTCATTAATTTTAGAGTAAAAGCACGTTATGGTTAAAACGTAGTGTTGTACACGTTAGTGTTAAGTGTTTGTCATCATAGTTAAAAACTGACTTGTTGGTCTGGAACTGATGTGTCAGTTTGTTTCAATTCAACTTACAGATTGATTTTGTCAAACTTATGATAGACTTTATGTAGTTTACTTATTCAGTGTACTTTACGACTCCTACTTTCCATTACCGTAAAGAAGGGTATAATAGCCTATTCTAAACACTTCATATTGAATTACAGTAATACTTCATGGCAGAATGTAAACATAATTGTTACTATTTTAGCTGTAGTGTTTTAAATGTTGTTTTTACTAGCTGACATCCCGCTTCTTGCAATAGTTGTTTAACTTACAAAGTTTGATAAAGCTTTGTGCATGTTTTTATACGTTCCACTACTTCTGACTTAATATTACCGAAATAAAACATGACACTCTTAAAACCTTTCGCAATTCAAAGGCTCACAGAAGAAAGATTGTTACCACAGTTTGTGTTAACAGAAGACAGATCGCTACCACAGTTTGTGTTCATAGAAGAAAGATTGCTACCATAGTTTGTGTTCATAGAAAGATCGCTACCACAGTTTGTGTTCACAGAAGAAAGATCGCTACCACAGTTTGTGTCCACAGAAGAAAGATATCTACCACAGTTTGTGTTCACAGAAAGATATGTAGCACAGTTTGTGTTCACAGAAGAAACTTGTGAAAACAAAACGTGTCGTTGTTGTAGCCGTAAAACCTGTGAATTATTGTGTTTACAGTTCCAACAGAAATTCTTACTTTAGCTTTAATGGACAACTGTTGTTTTTGTTGTTGTTATTGTTACCACTACCAAGTCTGTGGTACACTTCCTGCGGCGTCTCTATGATTTTTTATTTAGGGAGATATAAGGGGACAAACAGTTAGTTTGAAAGCAGAAACACTAACATTCTTCTGTCAGTGGAAGTCA